AAAAACACACACACACACATATATATATATATATATATATATATATATATATATATATATATATATATATATATATATATAAAGACATAAGGCATATATATATGTCTCGTCTGTGGTAATGTTTCCAAAATCATATTCCTGGCGCATTCCTACTTGACCAACCTCGATCGTTTCACTTGATGTAATCCCCCAATTTACAATCCTTTAAACATAGAGTGCGTTAAAAATTCAGTGATTTTTTTACTATGTCGGTATTTCAGATCTCGTGAACCCCGTGAAATCCCGTAAGCTGCTTAATCTATTTATATACATCGTTTGTGACATTAAAGCGTAGTTTGATAACTAAATTTTGAAATTCATTTTTTTTTTTTTTACGTACGACTATTTGTACGACTATTTGTACCGTCTTACTCTTGCGACTTTATTAATAAAAATAAATGAAAATAATCGTAGACGCGGATCGCACGATATCTCTTGAAAGTCCCTAGACGTTCTCAGCTTTTGGTGCATTCAGCTTTTTAATATAAGGTGATCACTTGGTCGTGTCGGCTGCTTCGGGAAGATTCGGCGGCAACGCAACCAATCACGATCACCTATATAGTTTGCGATCAGTGCAGTTGATAAATGGAGGATTTGTGTTTGTCAAGGTAGTTTTGTTTACGCGTAAATTTTCATTCGGCATCAACACATCGTGCGTTTTGTGTGTGCTAAGAGGTAGATGAAGGTGCGTAACTGTTTTCTTCGGGTTTCGTATTAAATTCCAAAGGTAGGGAAACTATCGGGTTAGAGGAATGTATGTTAACTGCTTGTGCAAAGCGTACGAGCTGTGTAGGGATGAAACTTCGTTCGTATTAAAAAACGAACCACTTTTTCGTGGCGTTGCTTGAAAATTGTCCCGTCACCTCTCGCGGATCTTTTGGCCGATGCGATTCGTAAAATGTAATGAGGTTATCCTTCCGATATCAAACGCTCAGTAATCAACGTTTTTGGCTGATAGGTTATGAATTCACTTTTGTTGAATTACTGAACGATGTATTTCAAATTGAATAAACGGTCGTCCGATGACACGAAATATTTATTCATGAACGTCACTTAGTTCGTGTCTTTCCGGGTGAACGTACGTTTCGGTTCTGTTAATTTAATATCAGCGAAACAAATATCATCTATGATACTTTGTCTTTCGTTAAAGCAACATAATAATTTAGATGATAAAAAAACTGTGCACGTATTGTGAATAAATACGAAATTAAGTTACACGTCAGATAGTTTTCCGGTTTACTTAAAATTATCCTTTCTGCGTTTAAAAGGTTATTTTTCTAAAATGTACATGGCAATGTTCAGACCAGGTGAAGAATACCTATTTCAATGTTTGCAATTTTAGAAATATAAATAGATTTAAAATGAAAAGTTCTATACTTGATATGACAAAGTAGAAAAAAAATTACAATATAGTTAACAAGTTGCTTAATATATAATATATATTATTGTACAACAAATAACATTTTTTCAATTTTTAAGAGATCTTCATATTCATCATATATACTTTTCATTTTATATTAATTAACTTAAGTCACATTGTTAGTAACAGTTTTAAAGAAATTAAGGTTCATGCGTTTAAATTGATGTATTTTGTATGTTACGTAACTGTTGTAGTTACATTAATAAATGTTAAAAAGATACTTGTTCATTACTTTTTAATTTTATATCACTTAATATAATCTATTCGTCGCAAAATTAAGTGACTGTAATGTTTAACGGTTTCAGTATCTTTTAAATAATGTTAACGGTTTCAATATCTTTTCAGGATTTAAGATGTCTCGCAACCATAAAGACAAATATGAAAATTCTAACCCACGTCGTACACATACTTTTATGTCTACGGAGGATGCAAACTCTGGAAAGAAATCTTATTGGCCAGAGTTGGAGATAACAGGCAGTATAAGAAATTTAAGCCCAAATTTGTGGCAGTTGACCCACCTAACAGCTTTGTATCTCAATGATAATAGTTTACAAAGGATACCATCTGAGATTGGACGTTTAGTCAACCTACGTGCTTTAGATCTCAGTAGCAATAAATTACGGAGTTTACCAGCTGAACTGGGGGACCTCATCTACCTCAGGTACGATTATATGCGCATTTGTATAAATTATAATGAAAATATAACAGTTATTAATTGAATGCAAGTTAGGTTTAATACTCGGTTCGTGTTTATGTTTCTTATAACTTAACCTTTCCTGTATTGATTTAGTCAGTGTATTGTTTGTATTTCAGAGAATTGTTGTTAAACCAAAATTACCTCCGAGTGTTACCATATGAACTAGGAAAACTGTTCCAATTACAAGTGCTTGGACTTCAGGGCAATCCGCTCAGCAAGGAAATAATGGCATTATATGGAGAACCATCTGGGACTCACAAGCTGCTATCGTACATGCTGGACAATTTACAAGGTATGTGATCAAAACAAACGTTTATTTAATATATTAAATTTAGTCTTATGAAGACTCTAATACTGTTGGGTTAATTTTGTTTTCATCGATATGATGTACATATACACAACGTGGTATACATGATATATGTATGTTATTTTGTGTTTATATTTGGATTTAATATGTCTCAATTTGTATTAACATGCAATGATAAATAATAATGACGCTACGGTCATCGTTGATCGATATTAACTGTTGTTATATTTGAGCAATGCGCCACCAGATGGCTGTGTATGTTTACTTCCTGCGTAACTTGTTAGTCTTGCCGCTTTTTTACGAAAAGTTCTTTACACGAAGCATTAAAGAAATCTTTTTTCAAATGTAAAGCATTATCGTTAAACTAGAATAATGTTTTTTTTTTTTAAATAAAACTTTAGACTCATCAAATGACAAATATAAGAATGAAGTACGTGTTTGAAATTCTTAATTGTTATTGTTGCCATAATCTTTTTCAAGTTTCAAGTTTCAATAGTTTTAAAACATTTTAAAAAGTTTCAGATTGATTTTTTCAAGTTATAAATACAAAGGTTGTCAGTGATCTAAATAGATTATTTGAAGTTTGATCAACAAAAGAATTAGATTTAAATTTTAATCCAATTAATCAAGTCCTTCCTTTTACACACTATTTCACTAATTGTTTAAAATAATGCTACTGTTTTTTTCAAGTTATGATATAATACTCTATTACATATCGGTATAGTTAGGGAATATAGTTCACATATTTTACATTAAATAACATATATCGTACGTAAGTACGAGTAGGAGTTCTTATACTTTTTATATTAAATATCCTAGTATGTTTCTTACTTATTAACATCTTTCTGTTACTTCTCTATTCGCCTAACTATTCTACCGTTTCAAGTAGCGCCGGTATTATCATTAATCTACGATAAGTAACACCCCCGGCAATCATCGGCGAAGATTAGCGCGCTGATTTTGGAACGCGTTGCGCCAATCGGCTAGAAACAAAAATCTAGCCGATGCAAAGTGCCAAATTCCATTCGAAAGGCTGTAAAAATTTCGCGACGTCGACGCAGGGCTCATAAAGAGCATTTAATGGCCTGGAGAACACATTAGAGCCTACATAATTTAATTTCTTTTAACTTCGGGGTCAAGTGGGTGTGCCGGGGCGCAAGCGCGCTCGGTTGTGCCAGTGGTTACGTTAGGGAATGCTCGGTGAAACGTGGGGGAATTGCAAAGCGGACCAGGAGGGAAGGCGTTCTTCTATCCATTGTGTTTCACAATTTTTGCCAGTTACCCGATTGCCTGAAAGGTCTTGGCTGTACCATTCCGTTTATCCATTGTTCTCCGACTTTTACTATTCGGCGCCACGGTGCTATGCCTGTCATTTCCTCTTCCAGAGGATACTACCTCGTCATCATCGTCCTCCACTTTCTTTGCTTCATCTTTCCCTGTGTCAGGGGTCGTTATTTAGAATCATCCTCGCGGCATGTAGATTTATCCGTCTCCGAAAAGATATCGGTCTTAAAAAAAAAAAAAAAAAAAAAAAAAAAAAACGCCTATATGGGCTGCCCTCTAATAATTATTGTTCTACTTTGTAAACGAAAGGATCGAAACGATCTGCATCGAAGAAACGCAAATTTAACGATTCTTACGGAATTTTCTTACATCTTTGAACTCGTCTTGCTTGACCATTTATACAAATAGACGAAATTTTAGCACACGACCTCGTTTTGCGGCAATAGATTTCTCACGATTGTTTCATATTGTGGAAACGGTTTACGTTACGATTCTCGTTTTATTCAGAAAAGTAAAAGAATATTTTAGTATCTTTAATGTGGACCCATGATTGATCTTTCATAGATTACGATTACGACAAAATTTCAAAAGATAAAAATGGCTCATTAAAGAATCTTTAATTACAAGCGAGTGAATCTCAAAAAGATTGTTTTACTGATCTACACAATACAGTGAAACATTTTTAAACAACGCATTTTATATTACAGAAAGACTGTATCCAAGTAAATTATGAAATTTGTGGGAGAGACTAATTTCCCTTCGGACATAAATTGAATATATTTTTACATGAATCACATTTTATAATATCGCGATACTTCTAAAAAAAAGTCAAGCAGAAAATTTGACAAAAGTTATTTTCTTAAGAGCCTCGTATATTTTGCTCCGCGTATTTTTGCTCGCAGAATAGGATATTTTTGCAAACTGTTGTCGTACTTCGTGAGGGAATTGAACCGAAAAAAACTTCGGCAGTGTAAAGTGTAATTTTTAATGCTGCAGGAAGAACAGCCAGCTACTTAAAACTTCTACGGAAAGTAAAGAAAGGGCTGCGTAAAAAAAGTAAATCGACTTGCTGTCATTTTTCTTTTAAATGCGGTAAAGTTGTCCATCGGTTGGACCACCTCGTGGTCCTATTTTTTTTTTTTTGTGCAATGATAATGAAGTTAACTTTTTGAACAACAAATCGTTCAAACGCCTTTCCTCCCAGTTGCGTTTAATCGGGAGATTCAAAGTTGTACGTAATTTTTTATTTAGCAGAAGAGTCTCTTTGTGATAAATTCTTTCCGCGAACCTAGCGATTAGATTGCTTAGAATTTCATACAAATCAGTATTCGCGGTCTCTCGAATATATCCTTGGTTGTTCTGTTGGCGCAACTTTTATTTGTTTTCCCCGGCGTACGTGATCAATCAACGAGATAAATTGGAAAGTTCTCTCTGGATTAGTTTAAATTTCCGTCTTCCGTAACCTTCTCCCAACTCCACGTGCACCGCAATGTCTATACGTATTCGTTTCTCAACAGGAAAACGAAAAGTCGGGAGGTTTAATGCTGAGGCTCTGTGATGAAACTTTCGAATGTACGTTGCAAACAATCATAAGTTTCACGTTATACAAACACAAGGGCAAAGTTAATTACTTTCTCTGTGACTGATTCTTTTATTCTCTCAAACGAATGAAATTGTAAATGTTAGTACGTTTTTCTTGATGAAATAGATGGGATTAAAATGTTGAATCGAATCTGTTCAGATGATTTATTAAAATCGTTGAAAACATAGGTTCTCATTTACTTATTCATCAGTTAGTAGAAATAGTTGGACCGAATGGATAAATTACAATTGCGGTAAATTGAGATGTTCAATCGCATTTTCAAAGATGCGATACATTTTTGAAAAGCGTAAATTTTAATATCTTCAGAAATTGATAGAAATAGCCAAATACTAATATAGATAGAATTCCATCTATCTATATTAAATTAGTAAATGTCAAACGTCAGAATATTGAATGAAACTTCCCAACTTTATTAGAATTCGTAAACATTGATTATACGGTTAATTGTAATTAATTAAACATGTAGCGTAATTATACAATAATTCGAGTTCTCTTTTAAACTTGGTTATTAGGGAAAACGAGATGTTTAAATTGAAGGTTCAATATACAACACGTAGAGAAACGTCCAAGTATTACTAAAGTTATATTTTAAAATAAAATCTTCTTCTTTTCAAGATCAATTTCTCTTGCATTTGGTTTTACGAGTAATAACTTTCTCCGACGAAGAAAACGCCTAGCTTGTGTCATTGAAGATGGTAGAAATTTCAGAGATTTGAAAGATGAGCCACGGATATTGATTATCCGTGGAACTTTGTAATTAATAGAAGAGCTTATCGTTAGTAATTAAAGCACCTGTGAGTAAAGTATCTGGGAAATTTTATAATCCAGAACTGTACCTTCAAAAAACTCGCTTGTAGATAGGATGCACCTATATGCAATTATTTTTCGTTAAGTACGTATATTGTAATTATTTTCTGGAAAGATAGATAAATAATTACACATATTCTGGTTCAGAAATAGTTGAAGCACATATAATGCACAAAATAATAGCATGAATAAATAAAGCATGAAATAATAGCATAAATAAATAAAAATAGTTGACGATAGAATTTCAAAAGAAACGACTTTCTCGAATAGATATAAATATCACTTGTGACGTTTAATATTCTAAAATACTGAAACTGTAATTAATTCAATTATTTAGAATATGTTATATTTCTCAGGAAGTTACACGGATCGATCGATCTCGACGAAAAAGTGAACGCGATTCTCTTAAAAATTTCGCCGCGTGCTTTTTCTACGGAAACGGCGACTGAATCTGAAACGGACGATTTGTTCATTTTACAAATAACTAAACAAGCTCGTTCGAACGAGTTCAGCCCGTTTCAATACCAACGGCCAAATTATTTCACGGGTAACTTTATTGCACGGTTGATTCGTCCGCTGTTTCATCAACGAATCCGCCGAAACGTTCGTTCGTTAAAAGTTACGATTCCCTTTATTAGACAATTTTCCCTCGAGCTGCTGAGGTATCTGGCGCGTGGAAGATTTCGCCGCCTCGAGTGGGAGAAATAGAAAGCAGAGAAACGCTTGTCACAAACAAATAAGAAAATGTTCGTTTTAGTTCTTTTCGGACGGTAGGAAACTGGGTCTCGCGCTGACGCGAGACGAGTGAAAGGGGTCTTCCAGTCTGAGCGAGAGAGAAAAAAAAAAAAGAAATAAGAGGTACAAAAGGGAGAGAGAGAGAGAGAGAGAGAGAAGGAAAAAATTACGCTCGATTCACTAGGTTGCTCGGTGCCACCTCAGCCGTATAATTACACGGGGCCTCGGTCTCGGCTCCGTGTAATTGAGGACGGGTCTGAGAGGAGAAAGTGAACCGCGGTTTCGTGTGTACATACAGCGTGACGAGAGTGCCTATGATTCATTCGTTATTCGGCGTGTATGGCGTGTGTATTCGGTTAGGCATTGGACGCACGAGCCGCGAATCGGCGATGACACGCGTTACGAATTCGCTTCGATGCCTCTCCTTGTCGACCCCGTTACATCCACCTTTTCGCTGGCTTTTCCCCGCCGCCGGTGCAGATGCGACGCGATGTTTCGAAAGTGCTCGCGCTTCCGGGTAGAAAACAGAATTTCTGCCGAATCGAGAACCATTCGC